AAAAGAGACTTACTAAAATGGAAGAATATACCATGCTCCTGGATGGGAAGACTTAATATTGTGAAAATGTAAATACTGCCCAAAGCAATCTATACATATATAATGCAATCCCAATCCAGATTCCAACATCATTCTTCAAAGAGATGGAAAAAACAATTACAAACTTTATATGGAAAGGAAAGAGACCCAGGATAAGCAAAGCACTGCTTAAGAAGAACAGGGTGGGAAGCTGCTGATTCCCTGATTTCAAAATTTACTACATGGCTACAGTGGTCAAAACAGGTTGGTACTTGTACGATGAAAGATACATTGATCAATAGAACAGAATTGAGAATCCAGAAATTAAGCCATCCACATACAGCAATCTGATTTTCGAAAAAGTGCCTAAGTATATTGCATGGGGAGGAGATAGTCTCTTCAACAGATGGTGCTGGCAGAACTGGAATGTGATATGCAAAACACTGAAACAAGACCTTTACCTCACACCTTATACAAAGACCAATGAAGCATGGATTAAAGACCTAAAAGTGAATCCCAGAATTATAAAGGCCATCAATGCAAAAATAGGGACAAATGTGAGGGTTCTAAAACAGGGCATACACAGACTACCAAATATTTTGAAAATTACACAAACAAAAGTAGACAAAATAGATGATTGGGATATACTAAAAATTAAAAACTTATGTGCATCAAAAGAGTAAAAAGGGAGCCCACAGAATGGGAAAAAATCTTTTGCAATGACACATCAGACAAGGGACTCATTTATAAAATATCTAGGAAACTAAAACACCTCTACAAGAAAAAGACAAATAACCCAATTTAAAAATGTGCATAGGACATGAACAGACACTTCACCAAGGAGGAGATCTGGGCAGCCAACAAAAATATGAAGAAATGTTCATAATCACTAACCATTAGACAGCTGCAAATCAAAACAACAATGAAATATCATCTCACACCAGCAATAACAGCAAAGATCAAAAAAGTAGAGGAAAATAAATGCTGGCGAGGATCTGGAGAGACTGGGACACTCCTGCATTGCTGGTGCAATTGTAAAATGGTCTGATCACTCTGGAAAACAATATGGTGCTTCTTCAGAAAGCTGGAAATAGAACTACTTTATGATCCAGCAATCCCTCTACTTGGTATTTAGCCACAAGAAATACAAGCCATAACACAAGTAGATCTATGCACACCAATGTTCACAGCAGCACTGTTTACAATAGCAAAAAGATGGAGACAGCCTAAGTGCCGATTAATGGGAGAAATGGATAAACAAACATTGATACATACACACAATGGAATATTATGCTACCTTGAAGAATAACAAGGAAGCTGTAAGCCACACATGACATGGATGAACCTTGAGGACATTATGCTCAGTAAAATTAATCAGTCACAAAAGAAGAAATACTGCATAGGACCATTATTATAAAAGATTAAGAAAAAGTACCAACACTAAAATGGGAAAAAAAATTCTTTGCTGGTTACCAGGGTGTATGGGATGGGTTGAGGTGAGGGAGGGGAAAGTGGAACACAGGGTAGGGAATCGACACAGGATAGCTTGGGTCCTGGGGTACGGGGTAATACTCAAGAAGGGGGAGGGGAATGGAAGAACAAGGCAAATGGGATGGGAGAGCAGTTAGGCAGGTTTGCATGGGCTAAGTGGGACAGAGGTAAATAATGATGTATGCACAATCTTAGAACAACAGAGCTCTGGGATACAGGGACTGAGGCATGGTTTGACTGGGTAAAAGAGGGGAAATAATGTTAAGATGTTTGGCTGTCTTTTGAATCTTGGTTTCCATTGCCTATTATTGTAAAATAGACACTGGATGGGGGGAGAGAAAGGAATAGCCAGAAACATTACCATAAAAAGTGTGTATGTCCGTCTTCTGCCTATAACGGATTGGAATAACTAAAGTGGGGCTATAACTTGCCCAGTGAAGGAGGCTTCCTATGGAGCCTTTGCATTGCAGAAGCCCATAGGTGGAATCTTGATCCCCATCTAGAATCTTCTGAGGTGGGAAACTTCCACTTGAAAGGACAAGCAGACCAGCCTGGAATGGCTAGAAGAACAGATGATACTTCTTGAGAGAAAGATCAACAGGAAAAATCAAAAGCAATAATGGCAGTCTTGACAACTACAGGAACAAGCAAGTTGTTCACCTGGGAGCCATCAAGGCAAGCAGTCGGGTCCCATCAAGGCAAACCCCCTTCCAAGACTAAGACTCAAGGGGAATAAATGAGCAGGCATGTGGTCTTGCTGGTGACCATGTTGGTAACCAATAAGGGGCAGTGGGGAAAAATAGCAATGAAGTTGTGAACTAAGTCCGACCACATTCAATAGACTCCTATCAACCTGGGTTGAGATGTGGTTGGCCAGCAGTATGGCAAGACCTGGGGACTCCTGAGCCCAGAGACAGGGACATGGCCACAGAGGACGAGAGCAGAATCATCCAGCTGATATGAAGTGAGGAGAGATGAACAAGAACACCCATACTTGCAGATAGTACCCACTTGACCTGGCTTCAATGGCTGGATGATTAGAACCTGACTAGAAGAAGAAAGAAGAGAAAAAAAGAGTAATCTGCTACAACTTGATGAACTTGACCTATACGTATGGATGTAGTAGATCAAAAGAAGGAACAAATCTTTATAGTGAGGATCATTCCCACCCCTTGGTACACAGGGTTGACAGGTATGGGCAACTTAGATGTTGGCTACCCCAAATAGAGGGGTTACAAAGGCAAGAAGTGACTGGCTTATAAGTTTTCAAGAGGGAGCCTAGTTCCAGAGGTTGTGGGGGAAGGTAGAATCTCCACTCAGTGCTTTCCAACCTGTCTGGATAAGGCTGATGAAAGGAGATGGGGATAAGACTCTTGTGGTACAATAGTGAATAATTGCTATCAGGACTGACTGTGAGTGTTGGAAATGTAAAGGCAGACGTTTTATAACAAAAGGAGGGAATGGTTGACTTTGCAGTCCAGGAGCGGAGGTCCCTGGGACCATCAAGGGATAAGAGTGGAGTGCAGGACCCTACCCAGAGAAGCAGTGACACCAGAGATGGAGGCAGAGATGATGATCTGGAGAGATGGAGTGGCTGGGGACTCTGGACTCAGGGAGGGAGAGAGTCTGTGTGCTGATGGTCAGGGGAGCTAGCTTACAGGGTGTACCCTTTGGTTGTTTGATGATGCATGGAGGGGATTGTAATCATTGCAACGAAATGAAATGCAGCAGGATGAATGTAAAGCTAATTAATGTTCCTCAACATAAACTATCACATAATTCATAATAAAAACTAAAACAAAAACCAAAACTGGCTGATGATACCAATTTGCCATGTGACCCCAATTAATTTAATGAGGGGGTTTCAAAAATCTCATGGAAAATGGAATTGAAAAATAATGAATTCTTCCATGAACTTTATGAAGCCTCCTCAAATAAGGCAGTCCCTGGGTTATAAGGAGCTCTGGTAGCGTAGTGGTTACAAATCAGGCTGCTAACCTCAAGGTTGGCTGTTCTAAACTACCAGGTGTTCCGTGGAAGAAAGATGAGGCTTTTTGCTCCTGTAAAGATTTGCCACCTCGAAACCCTGTGCAGGGTCACTATGAGTCAGAACCAACTCCACAGTACTTAACAACAACAACAACTTACAGATAACACCTGCTTGTTCTTTCTTGTTCTTAAATTTGACCTCACTTTGAAATGATTGAACCATCCCTCTAATCCTCAATGGAGTCTTGGGGTGGTGCTGTGGGATAAAGTGTTGGACTGTAAGGTTAGTTTCAACCACAAGGTCAGCAGCTCAAACTCACCAGTCACTCCTTGGAAACCTTATAGAGGGTCGCTATGAGTCGGAATCGACTCAACGGCACTTACCAACAATCTTCAACTTGAATAGATTCTGACTCATAGCCCTAGTGAACAGAATAGAACTTCCCCATAGTCTAATTCTTTATGGAAGCACACTGCCTCATTTTTCTCCCACAGAATAGCTGGTGAGTTCCAACCGTGAATTTTTTGGATAGCAGCTGAACACTGCCATCCCATACTCAATGAATTCTACATCATAATCACCTTCACTTGCTGCTGTTGGCATCTTTTAAATCACCAAAATGACTTGGAGCCTTTTCTTGCACTGAAGTAAGGCTAAATAAGAACCAATACTCCAGGTGTGATTTAAGTATGACTTCTTAAAAGACACAGTTAGGAATGGATCTCATTCTAATACAGAGATTGTCTATAATTCCATGTGCTTCACTCTCTTTAACAACAAAATGAGGCTATTTTGCTTTTTTTCCTCCCAGGGATGGTGCTAATTACATCAGACCAGGATTGATCACATCAGATCTTATCATGGGTCGATTGTATTAGATTTCATCATGGAGGTGATAACTACATCTTAACTGATAAACCACTGAGAATTGCAAAAATACATGTTGTTGTTAAGTATTGTTAAGTTCTGACTCAAAGAGACTCTGTATAGGGTTTCCAAGGAGCGACTGGTGGGTTTGAACCACCAACTTTGTGGTTACAGTCCATGACTTATCCTACAGTGCCACACCAAGCATGCAAAGCACAGTAAATCCATAAACAGAAAAAAATCATCTTTTAACAGAATTTAAGCTTCTGTTTTTTCCTCTAAGCCATCCAAAATTACATGAAAACACTCACATTAATTTCCACAAAATAAAGTATCAGCAGGAACCCAAGGCTGTTTCTTATTTTCCCTCTCTTTCTCTCCAACCCTCAGGAGTTTACTTGGTAAAATTTCAAAAACACTCTAAATATTGT